GAAGCATCTTATTCTTCATTTGAGACATGGGTGTTGAGCAGCTGCCTGGCTAGCATTGTACTATGTAATGCAGAAGCATAAACAGTATCACGAAAGCCTGATCAAGTTTATTAAAACTACAAGAATGTTACTTAAATCATTTAAATAGCGTAACACCAGCAATTGGCAAGAATGAATTTTTCAGTAACATGTTGAAAACTTATGTTTTTATATATAGACATATATATGAAATTAGCAAGCTAATGAACAAATATTAACAACTGCTCAAGCAGTGTATTTTATACTCACAGCTTGGCTATCATAGACACTTTTTAGATCCTGCCTGTCTTAGACACTCCTTTTAGGATTGGAAGGGCAACTTTCTGCAGGTGTCTCCCATCTCAGAAACTGCAGAATGACCTTGGTGACAAGGTCAGACTGGACATCAAACTAGTACATAGACCCACTGAAAAGCAAATCAATCCACTAGTGTTCTGCTACTTCAAAAGGCATCTCTTTGAGGTATTACTTGAACAGAAAGAAGCATTACCTTTTACTATATTATTATGCTTTTATGCAGATAAAACAGACATTTGTAGTCTGATACTTTATTTTCCATATTGCTATTGCTTGATTGCAAGGACTGAGGGGGACTGCAAGAGTACTTTAACCTCCAGGTTGGACCACATTCCAGAAATATGAATTTTGGCTGTGCAGAAAGTAACAGTAACCTGCTGAGTGGTTTCCACCAAGCAACAGACTTCTTGAAGTTCCTCTACCTCACAGATAGCACAGGGGAAGGCAGGTGTATAAACTTCTTACAAGCCACTCAGAAGAAACATCACAGAAAACAGCTTGGCATGTGATAACTTTCTTTAATGTGCATATAATCTCATTTTACATTATAACACTGCAAACCAATTTTCTTTGAAACAAGTCTACAAAAATCTTCATTAATGGATCCTGAAAATATTTAAGTGACAATACTAAAGGTATATTTGACATAAGATTTACATAATGCTCCTTCTGACAGTCAGAGGATCTATTGAACATCTTTACCAGGACATCAAAAACTGACCAATCATTCAGGTGAAGGAGTATATATTGAAAAGCTTAACTCATCCCAGCATTCACTCTCTACTTTGGGATTTGTGGTGACATACAACAGCTGTCATGAGGTGGGTGGTCCAAAGAAAGACGCTTGGTTGCCTTGCTGTTCTGTTAGCTTTAAGTAAAGACTGAACTCTGCTTTGAAGATGAAGCATCAACATTACCTTCACTATCACATCAATTTTTAACTCCTGAACAGATACCCTGTGGGGCTGGCACACAGACAGAGAAAGCTTCTGCTGTAGATGTAGGCTCTGCTAAAGTTAGTGGATGATGCTCTGTTGCTCTGTGACATCCTGTGTGCAGTGCATAGTGATGCAGTTCAGCAAGTATTGTACATCTGCCTTTTATTCATATCAGTCTCATTTGGTTCTCCTATTTTTAAACACACTTTTAAACAAATGTGCAGCTGATATATGTTGTGACACGTATTAGCCATAGAATCATAGAATACGCTGAGTTGGAAGGGACCCATCAGGATCACTGAGTCCAACTCCTGGCCCTGCATAGAACAGCCCAAGAGTGACACCCTGTGCCTGAGAGCATTCTCCAAATGGTTCCTGAACTCTGTCTGGCTGTGTCTTCCCTGGAGAGCCTGTTCTAATGTCCAACTGCCCTCTGGGCGAAGAACCTTTTTCTAACACCCAACCTAAACCTCCCCCACCTCAGTTTCATGCCATTTCCTTGAGTCCTGCCACTGGTCACCAGAGTGAAGAGATCAGTACCTGCCCCTCTGCTTCCCCTCACAAGGAAGCTCTAACTGCAATGGGGTCTCCCCTCAATCTCCTCTTCTCCAGGCTGAATAGACAACGTGACCTCAGCTGCTCCTCATGCAGCTGCCTCTCAAGGCCCTTCACCATCTTTGTTGCTCTCCTTTGGACACCCTCTAACAGCTAAATGTCTTTTTTACATTGTGTCACCAAGAACTGCCCCCAGCACTGGAGGTGAGGCTGCCCCAGCTCAGAGCAGAGCAGGACAATCCCCTCCCTTGCCCAGCTGGCCATGCTGTGCCTGATGCACCCCAGGGCAGTTTAGCCAGGACATGGCTGCCAGGACATCGCAGTAATGTAGTAAATCCATTGTGAATGGATTTCTAACATTAATTCTGATCCCCTTCCTGATTTTTTCATCTTATTAAATGCAAAATACTCAACTCTGACTAAACTCTATGTAACAAGTAAATTCTGTTTCTGTAATTTCTGTGTACTTCAAGGAAAAGGTAAGTGCTTGTGTACATGTACACGTAGGAAGAACTAGATCTGGATACTAGTGTTTTGTCTAGATACACTAGATACACTAGATACAGTGTTTTGTCTGTATTAAGTAGTTTTCAAATTTCACTATTTTTGACGTATTAATAGAACTACATTAACTCCCTTATTTTAATGCCCTAGCCTACCTATAATTACTAAAACTGCTATTCAAATCACATTTTAAAACACTTCAAAAGGAATTTTTAAAAATTAATTAAAATACAATTTCTCCTTCTCTGAAACTAAAAAATAAGACATTTAAATTTTATTCCAGTAGTGTTTTTCTTCACTTGTCGCCTTTAAATAAATATATATTAACATGTACAAAACCAAGAAATTAAATGCACATATTTCATCAAGATGCATCTAAATCCATATAAAACTAAGAAAAATGGGGATTGTACAGCACTTTTTCTTAATCTAATACCGGTGAAGAACATCCATTCTCTTTATGGCTAGAGAAAGCCAGATGCAGTGCTCATGTAAAAATAATTCAAGGCAGAATTCTGTTTGGACTGTGAAAACGACACATAAATTCTTTACGCATGGTCATACTGGGATTGAGTTAATGCCAAACAAGCATCTGATTCTTGCTTTGAATACTGGTTGATTGACTGCTGTTGTAAACCATTTAATGGGACTCACATTCAAAAGACTGCTGAAAGACTGTCTCATTTCAGCAATCTGAGATGTCATAAGACAAGTTCAACAAGGCAGATTTAAACAAATGTTTGGGAAAAATATATTTACCAAATATACTACTAAGCAGATTCTTTTTTGTAATGAGTTATACACTAAATTCCTTAATCATATTCCAGAATAGTCTGAAGAATATTTGTAAATAGCAGAGCCTCAATTTCACCCAGATCAAAAATGTTAGACCACATTAAATGATCTTGTAATTTCTCTTTCTCTGAAGCATTTGGATGCATATAAAAATATTTAAATACACAAACGTGTACAGAAGATATTATATATATAGTTATATATACAAAGAAAAACTATGAGACATACATAACATAAGGTAAAAAATAAGACAGATATATAGATAAGTAAATATATCTCATTTGGATTTTGACCGATCTGGATTTTGCAACAGTTCTGCCACATCCTATACCTTTTTTCCTCTGTACTGCTTCTGATTTTTTTGATAACAATTTAGCTAAGCTAAATGAAGATGACCCTAAGCACAAACAAAATATTAACACAATTAGAATTTGTGAAGTGCCTGGCATGTTTCAAGTATTGTTTAAGTATTAATTAAAAGTCCTCAGAACAATCCTTAAAGCCAGTAAGCACTTCCAGCAGCAATGCTGCAGCACAAATTGTCAACAAATTCCTAAATATAGTCCTGAAACCAGCACTAACTTCTAACAGCGGTATTTCTGATCAGGCAAGGCAGGAAAACACAACTGTGATTTCTAGCATTGTAATAATTTAGCAAGGTGTCTGTGCAATGTTTAAAGTCTAACAGTATTCTGAAGAGTTATTATCAAATCTGTGGTACCACTGAAATTCTCTCTGTACATGAATGTAGTCCAAATAAGGTCACATCTCTGCCAAACCAGAGACATTTCACTTAGCTTTAATCATCTATAAGTACTGTGTCTAATATGACTTAGTCACACAGCCTGTACTTAAAGTCAACAGAGAGATGAGCAGCTCTGGGGAGTAATACATCTCACTTAACTTAAACACTCATTTTAGGATGAGAAATGGAATGGGATTCTGGAGATGGATAATTGAACATAAACTTTAGCTGTCACTGAGAACCATTGCATAGAGTTCCTGCCGAGCCAAGACTAAGGGAGAGACTTCTGTCAGACTCCATGAATCTTACAATAATTGCCTAACACACATTCCAGAAAAAATGGCTTTTTGCACATATAACTCAGAAATGCAACTGACCAGAAAAAAATTAAGATGTACTTACCAAAAACAATAGAGGACTCACAGTAGTAGTAACCATTTGGTTGCTTTTTTTTGAACATGGAGCAAAGATCAAAGCGATGCAAGACCTCATCTCCAAAATAATGGTTTTTGAAATCTTCATACAGACTAGAGTCTATTTTTTTCACCTTTAAAAATCAACATAAAATTCAGTTAGGCATTTGACTTGGAGACTGAATTTTCATATTTAATTTCTATAATTCTCATTTTAACCATAAGTACAGTTAGTATGGAAAACTACTTCAAGATGCAAAAAGAATACAGAAATAATCATGTTCCAAATCTTCTCTTTTAGGGAAGCACTGCCTACTGCAGAAGTTAACAATAAAATGAAAGTGTCATTATTCCTCCTTTCCGCCACTTCTTTTTCAGTGTGTAGGAAACAAATAGATATACACAATAGATATATAACTGCTTTAACTTCCAATGGTTTGCAACAGTGTCCATGGAACACGTAACTGGAAATTATTCTTGCTGTCATCACTGGGCATGCTGCTACAAGGAAGCATCTCAAATGGTCATCAAGGGCAGTTTTCTGAGTCATTAAATCAGCACACAGGAAAAAATGGTTGTATTTTACCAGCACTAGATTTTTAATCTCAGTATATCTAAAAACTTACTGGGATTATAATATTGGAATCATGCAGTTTTATATATATGAAACAGAACACAATAAATATTTTATGAAGCTATTTTCAGAAAATATTTCAGTAGTTACTTTAAGAGTTTAGGGGTCCTTGTTCCACTGCATTGTCAGTAAAAATAAATTATCTCTGTAGAAATTCAGTATTTTCTCCTTCAACCTATCTCCCAATAATGCTGTTTGCTATTTAAGTATCATTGCTCTATGCTAAGGAATATTAGGAGCCTCTAGAAGCTCGAGCCCAGTGGTCCCTATGGCCTGGCTGCTAGAATGCAGCCTGGTGTGTGGGAGCCTCAGTCTTCGATGGATGTACCTGCTGCTTTCACCTCCCAGAGACACATACCCATGCCCAAAGGACACAGACACGGCTGGCTACATGGATGTCAGTGCCTTCATCAGGACCTGCACATGGGGCTCACAGGAGATACAAGTGCAGGTCACTCCTGACAGGGACAGAAGGTCAACAGTGTAGGATGTGCATGACTTTCTCTCCATGTTCACGTTTGTGCATTCCTGGAGCACCATCATGGCCCTTCTGTCCCCACAGCACCCCTGCCCAGATTGCTGGCCTCTTACTGAGCCCATGGGTCTCCTACTTGCTGGCTGGGCCAGCTTGAGGTTTGGCAGTGAACACCTGCACTCCCCACACACACTGTTTGGGGAGGATACAGACATTTGCCCCCAGCAATCAGTTGGACAAGTGTGCCCACCAACCTCATTTTAAACAGGACTGGCCCCTTTTGCAGCCCACATCATCCACTCCTCTTTTGCGTTCCTCCCTAACCTCTCTCTCTGCACACCCCCCATGTGTTTGCACAGTGAACCTGACAACACCCTGGACTCTCGGCTTTACAGCCCCAACCACTGCAAAGTCACGGTTTGCCTGTGGTTTCTCGGCAGCCCATCAGTGTGAAATGTCTACTTTAGCAAAGGTCCAATGTCCTTTCATTTCCTTAATCACTGGAATGATGACATCTAGTGGTGCAGGCTTTTCATTTCAGAAAATGGAAATCTGGGAGTCTACATCTCTGTGGAAGTCTACATTTATTCCGTTCTCACAGTAGTTATTTAAAATTTTATATTCTATGGCTAGACTAGTCCTTATGTACTAAGGCTATTCTGACATTAAATCATTATTCCTTGCTTTTTGGCTGACAGTTCTTGGAAATACAGGTAGACGTCAATTAGTAATAAAAAAATACGTTTTCAGCCAGGAGAACACTTGTCAAAATGTGAAGCCTTGAGTACTTCTAGAATGAAATGAAAAGACAAATATCACAACTCCATGCTCCAATAAAAAAAATAACATTTACAAGAGGTTGGGATGTTGCTTGTCAAAGACAGGTTGGTAAGGTGTGAATCAAAATGTTGAATGCTCACGAATTGAGTTGTGCTTGCGATGCACTACTGAAAGGTATTTGGAAAAGCAGCCATGGGAAATCTGTGGTATTTTTAGTAACTGGAATAGTTTCTGGAGTGCTGCTTCAGTGAGATGTGAAAGGATTAAGCAATGGAGGTGCATGAGAAGGTCACGGATCATTTCTTAACTGAAAGGGTCTGGAGCAGTAGAGACGCAAGAGAAAAGTTGCTACCACACGGGAATAGTAGAGATGCAGATAATAAAGATAAGCTATAGTGGAGGAGGGTGAGAAACAAGACTATTTGAGAGGCCACTTGGAAGTGTTTAGTGCTGGAAGGGGAGGAGGAAGACATCTGCCTCTCGAGGAAGCACTGTAATGGGTGATGTCTGTAAAGGACGTGGCTGTGTAACGTGGGCCTGGAGAGGCACAGCACAAGGAGCTCTTGCAGGACTGCCAGAGCACGGGGGAGAATGCCTCTGGCAGCCCTGCAGTGTCTGGCTTTTCTCCCCGTGTCTCTGCGAAGGCACAGCCCCCTATCCCAGCAGTTGAACCCCATGCAGTCCCCGTGGCTACGGCCACAGCCAGCCTCGGGCCCAGGGGCAGGAAGGCTCCAGTGGTGACAGCGTAGATAGCAGAGCCGCAAGTAGCTCCGGGCTCCGTGTCCAGACCCCACAAGCCAGCACCCCACTGCGGTGCTCCAGCCAGGCGGGGCCCGCGGGCGGCCCGAGGGTCGCTCCTTGTGGGGCGGCCGAGCCGCCAGCCGGGCCAGGGCCGCTGTGGGCGCGGCCCGGCTGCAGAGGCAGGTGCGGGCCCCCTGACGGGCGCTGCGGACGGAGCGCCGAGCTCCCGCCCGGAGAGGAAGGGAAAGGGGACAGCACAACGCTTTTGGGATGCCGGGAGGCGCAGCAGCTGAGCCGAGCTGCCCGTCTGCGGTGAGAAGGGTGAGTAGCGAGCAAAGAAACGGGAGAGGATTGGAAGTGAGTTGCTGATAGGGATTGATATGTCTGATCCATTACGAGCTTGTACAGAAACTGGTGCTGTGTGATGGTGCAGCATAAATATGGGGCTGCGGCCCTGAAATGATGGCCAAGCCATGAGGCCGCACTGCTTAGAGAAGCCACAGTCAGCGCAGGTGCGCATCACAAACCTGAGGGAGGATGATTTTGTACATGGGTGTATACATGTCCATGCATGTTACTGTATTTATGGGTACTTGGGTGTACATAGATACTTAAAAGGACACAAAGAAAAACTGTAAAACTAATGCTGGTAGTTAGCTCTGTTACACCTTCCTTGGAAGCTGACAGTGGCAGTAGTTACTGGCAGCATCTTTTCACTTGAACATTTATAGGTAATTCCTGGCAGCATCTTAGGTTCTCCAGGGCTGGAAGAGTGAGTGTCAACCTCCTATTGTCAATTAAAGTTGCTTCTCAGGATGTTTTGGATGAGTTGTGAATAAAAATACCTCTTGTCAACAGAATGAGTGCCACATCAGCCACAAGCTGTGCCTTGCCACTGTCGCTTGGGCCTGAGCAAGAGGAGCAAGAGGAGCAAGAGCACTCGGAGACACATATGTCTGTTTTGTGGTATGCAGGGCAGCTGGCAATTACTTACTATGATACAGAAGACTGCTCAGTCTACTTCATGCCTGAGACACCTGATAATGAAGACCTCAAGCTACTGCAAAAAGTGATTGGGGAACTTAACCCTCAATGCATAGTGACCAGTGCAAAACAGGACCAGAATATTGCCAAATTCCTGACCAACCTAACAGCTACTGATGGTGATAAAGACATGCGAAAACCAGAAATTGTCCTGTTTCCTAACATAGATTTTGGTCTGGAAGTCAGCAAGCAACGGATCCTGTCTAGGCAATTTCCTTTTATCCCATCTCATATGACTGCCACTGAGAAAATTCTCTATTTGTCCTCAGTCATCCCTTTTGAGAGTCCACTCATGATACGAGCCTTAGGGGGCCTCCTTAAATTTCTAGACAGAAGAAGGGTTGGAGTTGAACTCGAAGATAGCAGTATAGCAGTTCCTATTTTGGCCTTTAAAAAATTTGTGCTGTCAGATACTGTGAATATGGACCAAGACACTTACTGTGTCCTGCAGATATTTAAAAGTGATATCCATCCTTCTGTGTACAAGCTGTCCAGTGGACTAAAAGAAGGATTCAGCTTATATGGAATTTTAAATCGTTGCAGATGCAAATGGGGAGAAAAACTGCTGAGGCTGTGGCTCACACGACCTACCCGGAACCTGACAGAGCTGAACAAACGGCTGGATGTTATCAACTTCTTCCTTCAGGCTCAGAACCATGAAACAGTCCTTACTCTTCAAAACTGCCTCAAGAATATTAAAAATGTGCCTCTTATTTTAAAGAGAATGACTCTTTCCAATACAAAAGTTAGTGACTGGCAAGCACTGTATAAGACGGCATACAATGCAGTGTGCCTTAGAGACACGTGTCGTTCTCTGCCCAGCACTATTGAACTTTTTCAGACTATTTCATCTGTCTTCACTGATGATCTGCACTACATTGCTAACCTAATTAGCAAAGTGGTAGACTTTGAAGGCAGCCTCTCAGAGAACCGCTTCACTGTTAGACCCAATGTAGATTCCACAATTGATGAGAAGAAAAGAAAGCTGATGGGACTGCCAGGCTTCCTTACAGAAGTGGCACAAAAAGAACTGGAGACTTTGGACAGTCAGATTCCCTCTTGTTCTGTGATCTACATTCCTTTGATTGGGTTCCTCCTGTCCATTCCACGCCTACCAAATATGGTGGATAAGACTGACTTTGAAATTGAAGGCTTGGACTTCATGTTCATGTCAGACAATAAACTGCAATACAGAAGTGCCCGGACCAAGGAGCTAGACAGCCTGCTGGGTGACCTGCACTCTGAGATCAGAGACCAGGAAACACTCATCATGCACCAGCTGCAAACAAGGATCTTGGAGAAGTCTGAAGTACTTAACAGTGTGATTGAGTACACTGCACACCTTGATGTGCTGCTAGCCTTGGCAGCGATGGCCCGGGAGAACGCCTATTGCCGACCTCGCTTTACTCACCGCCACGGCTTCCACATCAAGGATGGAAGACATCCACTCATGGAACTATGTGCAAAGACTTTTGTGGCCAACCCTGTGGACAGCGGCGAGGCTACCAGACGAATAAAGATCATCACAGGGCCCAACTCTTCTGGAAAGAGTGTTTACCTAAAGCAAATAGGTCTTATAGTGTTCATGGCTCTAATTGGCAGTTACGTCCCTGCAGCAGAGGCAGAGATTGGAGTAATTGATGGGATTTACACAAGAATCCACAGTAGGGAATCAGTTTCTGTAGGGCTCTCCACGTTCATGATTGATCTTAACCAGGTTGCCAAGGCTGTAAACAATGCCACAGAGAGGTCCCTAGTACTTATTGATGAGTTTGGTAAAGGGACCAACACAGTGGATGGCCTGTCCCTTCTGGCTGCTGTCCTGAGGTACTGGATCAGACAAGGAACACAGTGTCCACAGGTCTTTGTCTCTACTAATTTTCACAGCTTGATGCAACTAGAACTCCTGCCTGACACACCTCTTCTGGAGTACCTGACCATGGAGACCCATCAGGATGGAGAGGAGTTGATATTTTTCTATCAGATCAAAGAGGGCGTGTCCACAATTAGTCACGCTGCCAATATTGCTGCATTAGCAGGAATGCCAGCCAAAATTATTGAAAGAGGAGTGGAAGTATCAGAACTGATCCGCAATGGAAAGCCTATCAAATGTCTTGATCATCCTGCAAAAGGTGATAGGATGGAAAAATGCAAGTCTGTTGTGGAAAAGTTTCTTAGCATAGACCTTGACGATCCCCAAGTGGACTTAGAAGAATTCATGTCTAAAGAGGTGTTGCCTTCTGCGGCCTCAGTCCTGTAGCAAGGGTATGTGTAAATGCATAGAGTGCACCATATCTACCATGGAGAGTCTGGTACTTCAGAGAATGATCACTGTGACATAACACCTCACAGGACATTTAGCTTGTAACAAACTATCTGCAGTTATGTCCTTCCTTCTTCTTGTTTAAACCAAGTACTTACATATCCCTGCTATATGGTGTATCATATAAGTTTTTGAAGAGGAAGAATTTTAGGAACCTCTTCCAGCTACTGGGTTACCCAGTTTGTGTATTTTCTGCCCCTATTGTTGGAACCTCAGATTAAAAAAATATACTGTAGAAAAATCACAACACATTTCTACTGGTCTTAGAAGACTGTTAAAAAAATTTGTTTATTGTTTTGTATTGTGCCAAAGTGACGGTTTAAGCCACTTTAGGATCAGCATCAAAGATTCCAAATAAGTATGTGGCTCAGACTCTTGTACCAACAACTAACAGTTGTCAAAGTACAAACCACTGACACAGAGGCTGATAAGGGACAATGCAAAGGGATTTAATGGCTCTATGGCTTTTCTTTTACCAGCTTTTCTATCCAAATGCCAGAGATCCCAGCAGTTATTAAAAAAAGAATGCTGGTGGTCAGATTCAGTGATAAATAAAGTGCCTTGGTTTTACTAAGAACTGTTCTCTTTAAGGTCCTGTATAATGCAGTTGTATTAAACGTACTATGTGTCTATGCCACATGGGTATAAATAAAGGCAAAATTACAAACCTAGGAATGGAAGAGAGAAATTCACATTTTCTATTCTATTTTCAGTTAACATTTGAGAATTAATACCACAAAGGGAGGATTCCCTTTCACTTCTCTTGTCATGCAAAGGATCTTTATTGAACACAGTATTTTATGTACACGTATGCAAAAAAATTCATTAACAGATTAATGATGGAAAAGCCATATCTAAACACCATCAAAGCAATAACCTTTCCTGTAGCCACACAAGTGCCTGAGATTCCACATGTAAATAAGACAGAAGAGACATTAGATAGCTTATTGTCTGCCAAAACTTCTCTAACCATTTACATTATGGCAAATAAAAGACATACTACATCTCTCATCTATATGTAATTTCAAGAAGCCAAAAATATTAATGTCACAAACTGAGAGAAAATTTACATTAAAAAAAATTGAATCCCTTTATAATTATCAGTATTAAACATGTTACCTGGTATATCTGGCTGAACATAGCAAAAAGATGAGTATCAGCATACCTCTAAAAGATCTGAAATTGGAGACACTGCTTTGGGTTTGTTTTGGAATTTCCTCCTTGATGATGAAGGAAACTATTATTATTACCAAATAAGTACCTTAAGTTATTTCTGTATAAAACTGGAAAGTGACAGAAATTCAACACAATTTACATTAAAAAATACAAGCGTAAATTACTGAAGTGTGCATTTAATGCTATTTCCAGTGCAATCATAATAATACTGCCTGCATAATATCTGGTATCATGATGATACCATTGAAGTGACTGGCAACAGTGAATCAGGCATTGAAAATACTCAGAAGTGTTGCAAATACAAACGTTTTTCTCAATAATATATTCTGTTTTACTAACTATACATGCAGCATCTCAAAGATACACCATACGAAAGAATATCATATATAAAAGATTTATAATTTATAATTTTGCCGGTTTTTTGTTGTCAACCACTATCTAGGCTAGAGATACACTCTGCACTAATTAAGCAGATGCCATCAGAGCAATTTAGCTGTCAGTCATCTACTTATGAAATTCATTTCACAGCATTTGCATTTCTGGTAGTACTAGTTATCAAAGGACCTTCAAACGTCATTCTGCATTTATGAAGTACCTCACAACACACCCTGAAATAAACAGGAATCTGGACAAATGGAAGATACAGGACTTGTGACTGACTGGTTGCACCTTAGGAGCCAAGCGTGGGAAGAAGGAACAGAAACATTATATTCAAATGCAAAATTCCAGTTGCTTATATTATTGTGCTTCATTAGGTTCTTTGCATAGAAGGTAATGATACTAACCCAGGATTCTTATCATGCAAATAATGCTGGAAATAGCTGAACATATTCAAGTAAATTATATCCCTTTGTCTCCTTCCACAAGGACATCTAGGAGCACACAATACCTCTTTTTTTTGGGGAAGTTTTCAGTGGCACATCTAAACTGAAAAATGTCCAACTAAGCATGAGGAACGAGCTGGTCCCACTTCTAAGTAGGTAAATAAGTCCTTTAATCTGAGAAGCTGAAGGGGGTACAGTAAACCAGATAGCTCTTTTCTAATCCACTTTATTTCATACTTTCATCCTTTATTAATATCTGTTTCCAAGTTTTTTAGATGTGTTCAGTGACATGCCTTCAAACTGAACCTGATTTCTTAAGATCTTTACTAGTTTTGAATTCTCAAACTCTTTGCTTTGTAAATATAATTTTTAACTTTAGGAAAGTTAAAGTCTCTTCAGAATATATGCATTTCAAAATGCCTGCAATTATATTAATTAAAATTAATATAATTAATATATAATATTATATATATTATATAAAATATAATGTAATTTAAAAACAGATTTTTTTTTTCCCCAAAATATAACTTTGGTGGAATTTAGATGCCATTATGAGGAGAGTGACTTAAAAGCATATTGTTTCAAATAAGGAGGCTTACATTTAAAAAATAAATTAATATCATTATAAAGCAATGGCTGAGAACTGCACTCAACCACTTCAGTACTATTTGCTCTTTTATAAGCTCACTTATGTAAGCTTCATCCACTTCCCTTTTCTTGCTTTTCATACTGTTGCATGATTTGAAAATGCAATTAGACATTGTATGAAAATGTACTGCAAAATAATTATTCCTTTTATGATACATATTTTTATTTACTGTTTTCTGTAAATGCATGAAACTAACTAAATGCAGGAATACAATAAAAGAAAAAAATATAGTAAAGACTGATGCATGTGCCTAACACTGAATTGACAGAGAAAAATGTACAGATTTTTAACACATAATATCTTTCCATACAGTAGATCACATGCATTATCCAACATTATGGAGGGCTCAGGAAGATGATTTGGAATGACACTGACCTGGTTCTGTCAGCAGCAGTGAATATCAGAACACAGAAAAGATGTATCCTGGCTAATATTTCATGGAAGGTAGATAAATGTAAATGAAACAACCAACCAGCCAAAAAAAGTAAAAATACAGAATAGCAAAAACCCCACCCTGATTGTCTCAGATGTTTTAACTAGTTAAATCACTGAACAGCAGATGCTCTAGAAGTGGACTGAAACTAGCATTTTAAAAACCCAACTGTCATATCAAGCAAAAGCTTCTGTGAGTTTACGAATTTCATATCAAATACCACCTACATCGTGTGGATAAGTCCTTAGTTCTATTTTAGAGCAGGTACGCTTGTCCTCCAATTTTCTTGATGTATCTCAAGTCTCACTATCTTCTTTCTACTGATTTCAAAATACTACTTAATTAAAACATCTTTTAGCATCTTTAGAGATATTTCTAATTAAACTTTTAAGGATTTTTTTTAATGCCCACTATTAAGGAAGTATCAAAAGATTAGTTTTATGTACTTCAATTCCTATTTAAAATATTTTTTCCTGAAAATTATTTTCCTAGTCAGTGTTAAAAAAATCACATAAAATATTCTATACAATGTTAGTAAAAACATGTATGGACATATACCTTGTGTTAAATATAATACAGTACTACAGTTAAATTAGTATGAAACAAAAAATAGGTACACTAATATTGTTTCTATATATTTTAATCACAATTATATCCTATTTTCATGTATTTCTGTATTTTGCCAAAAATCTAATTACTAGGCAAGAAATAACTTTCAAGAGAGAATACAGAAGATAAATTATATATATATAAATATTAATCTAGTTTTTCCTCATTACTCTGAAATTCACCAAAGCATGTTCAATAGAGAGAACTAACAGTCTACTATGCATAATCCAAACAGAAATTCCACTGTTCATTTGCTCATTTTCTCCTATACAGTAACAAAATTCAGAAAAAAAATAAAAATGCATGCATATAATCTACCTCCTAATGGGAGTTCTGCAACTCTGAACAAGAGTTTATTATTTTTTTTTATTTTTTTAATATTTTACTTTTATCCTTTGGTCTTGCCTGACCATGATACTACTGCACTGAGCATAGCAAGAGTGGTAAATTACAGTACAGGACTGCTTATATGGTAGATACCTTAATTATTTCTTTAAAAACCAAGTGTTAAAGTCTTACCTTTTCAGCTGGTTACAAAGTAGCAAATATGATGCTACAGCATAAACAACACTGTCCAACTCCAAATTAAACTTTGTAGATTGCTGCTGAGCTATGAGAAATGTGAGCTCACCTCCTTACGTAGCTCTGTTGATTTTGACAATTTCATGAAGGTCAGATGTGGTTTAAAAGCTCTTTCTTCACCTGCCATGATCCCCTTTTCTTGAAATATCTTTTTCATGGTCTCTGACAGAAGGAGAAAAGTGTATCAATACAAAGATATTACATTATATCATGCTTAAAATGTGCTTTCAGACCTAATTTTAGTCATGGCTCCTTCACATGAAAGAAACAAAATAACGAGTACTAAATGGCAGGGAGATTTCTACTTAATTTCAAAGGTACATATTATTTCTTCAGAGGTATATATTATTTCATGTGAAAATGAATATAGTATTTAATGTGAAATATTTACAGTTAATATCAGTTAAATAATGGCAATTAGAAAGCTGTTCATGCTGTCTTATTTTGCTATCAAACTAGAAACTCAACATTAGCACTGTTCAGGAGTCGCTCTCACTGGAAGTGTGGGAAACTTCAGGAAAACTCTGAGTATGTAACAGAATTCTCAATTTACCCAAATACAGATAATAGAATTCACCACAGAATACTGCTTTTAATCTCCCAGTCAGACCAGAGGAAATCTGGAAGTGAAAGCTGTAAATTTTGGAACTGGATTTACATGCCAGCATTAGAGAACATATCAGGTGTGTTGATGATTTTTTGCTTGGGTTTTAATGCTTCACTGTTGCCTTCTGAGGTAATTTCCTACTTTTAATGTACTTTTTAAAAATTTCATCTGTTTACAGTCCATGCCAAAACAACTCTACAACACTTACCTAGTTTATTATTTTGCAGCTCATCTGCCCAATATAATGTTTAATTTCTTAGAAATAAATTTCAGTGTAACTTTTGAGTTGTGTTCCATCATTTTTTTTAGATTAAATACTTCCAACATGAAAAACTTGTTTGAAAAAAGTTTTAGATAAAATTGAAAAAAATTGTAAAATCTGTGATAAAAATAATACTGGCAAATAGAGTATTTCTATTGCTGAAAAACAGAAAAACTGCAAAACCTTAAGCTTTTTTTTTTCTTTGCAAGTACAGCTTCCAATTTTTTGCTAGGTGTAGGTCTAGTTCACTCATACAATCAAACTAAAATCAAAAGAGGGGAAAAAATTATCAACTCTATCATATAAATTTAATCAGCCCTTATGAAAACAATGTATGTTCATTTAAATATATACCTTCTTTACTTGATAGTTCAGCAGTCCTTTTTCTGATACCAGGAAGAAACAGCATCACATTGTGAAAAAAAGCAACACAAGTACAGCTGACCAACTTGTATTATTTTAAATTTTTTCTCTGGGAGACATTTTAAATTTACACTGAATCCCCACTAAGCTTTCTGGCTCCTGTATCTATTCTCTGAACAGCACAATTTGGGGACCTATTGATGTTGGTGTTCCAGCAAAGGGTAAATCTTACCAGACCCAGGTTTATACTACTATGTGATGTTCCGACTCAGTCTTGCGCATAGCACTCTTTTTTTCCCTTCTGAAAACTCCATTTTTTTTCCTGCCATCGCATCTTGGGCCATGCAGTCCTATCTCACACTCTACAATTAGGATCTGTGCTGATGATCTGCATCTATCCAAGTGTCCCCTCTGGGGAGAGCTTAGTATCAGAGCAGAGGTTTACCAATGTGCCTCTGATCACAGGACTGTGAACCCAGGCATCTCAGCACAGCGCTGTGAATTTGTGGGAATTGGGTGGGACAGCTGGGCACCTGCAATTTACCCTGCTGAACAGAACCACTGGCCTGCCTGTCTTCTTCATTTTGTGTGAAACAGCTTTGTTCAATATCTGTTCCATTTATCTTTCCAAAATCCTCTTTCATACCTGGCAATTCCCATCAAGAAAGAAACAATGAAAACCTGGGTCAGAAGAGAAGAGCACACAGAGAGAGACTGCAGTTTTAAACTTAACGAACTTATGTGTGGGTATGCGTCTACACATGTTCACACGGGCATCAGAGTTCTCACACAGCTTTGTTGTGGCATAGATATATTAAACATCACAGGCTCATG